CTCCACAACAGATAGAACAAATGGTTTCACAGTTTCAATCTCAAGTTCAAGTCCAAGAGCCTGTAGCTACTTCAAGTGACTCTAGTCCTACTGCTACGATTTCAGAACATGGTTTAATGGCTCATACATCTACTTCTGGTAATAACTTTCCTTTTCCTTCTACTAGTCTTAAGTATGAGAATAATAATCTCACATTTCAAAATCATATCCTTTCTTCTTTACAAACTTTTTTACCTAATGATGCTTGGATTATAGATAGTGGAGCTTCTAGCCACGTTTGCTCAGATCTAGCAATGTTTAGAGAATTAAAGCCTGTGTCTGGTGTTACTGTTACATTACCAAATGGTACTAGAGTTTCTATTACTCATACAGGCACTGTCTATATTTCACAAAAATTGATTTTGCATAATGTTCTGCATGTTCCTGATTTTAAATTCAACTTGATAAGTGTGAGTTCATTGGTTAAGACATTGTCTTGTTCTGCACATTTTTATGTTTCTTGTTGCTTTATTCAGGAACTTTCTCAGGGCTTGATGATTGGGAGGGGTAGACTATTTCACAATTTATACATTCTGGAAACAGAGAATACATCCCTCTCTCCATCAGTACCTGCAGCATGTTCTTTCTCTGGTTCTGTGCATGATGATGGACATCTTTGGCATCAGCGTTTAGGGCATCCATCATCTACTGTTTTACAAAAGCTTGTTAGTTTCATTCCATCTTTAAAATCTTCAAATTCTGATGTTTCATCTTGTTCTATATGTCCTTTAGCTAAACAAAAACGATTAGCATATGTTTCTCATAACAATTTAGCTTTAAATCCTTTTGATTTAGTACATTTGGACATATGGGGTCCATTTAGTGTTGAATCTGTAGAGGGTTTTCGATATTTTCTTACTTTAGTTGATGATTGTACAAGAACAACATGGATTTATCTGTTGCGTAATAAAAATGATGTTTCTACTGTTTTCCCAGCTTTTATACAGCTTGTTTCAACACAATTTAATTCTAAAATCAAAGCTATAAGATCAGATAATGCACCTGAATTAGCATTTACAGATTTAGTAAAAGAAAAAGGCATGATGCATTACTTTTCTTGTGCATACACTCCTCAGCAGAATTCTGTTGTAGAGAGGAAGCATCAACATCTTCTTAATGTAGCTAGATCACTTCTTTTTCAATCAAATGTTCCTTTACAGTATTGGAGTGATTGTGTGCTTACTGCAGTCTTTTTAATAAATAGATTGCCTTCACCATTGTTGCAAAATAAGTCTCCATATGAATTGTTACTAAAGAAAATGCCTGATTACTCATTGTTAAAAAGTTTTGGTTGCTTATGCTATGTGTCTACTAATATGCATGAAAGAAATAAATTTTCCCCAAGAGCAAAAGCATGTGTATTCTTAGGTTATCCCTCTGGTTTTAAAGGATATAAAGTCTTAGACTTAGAATCGCATTCTGTTTCCATATCAAGAAATGTGATTTTTCATGAAAACAAGTTCCCTTTTAAAACTTCAGATCTTTTATCCAAAGCTGTTGACATGTTTCCAAATAATATTTTGCCTTTACCTGCTCCTTTACATTTTGTTGAAACCATGCCTTTGAGTGATGAAGATTCTCGGGTTTATTCTTCTGCATCAACATCATCTTCATCTGCATTACCCTCTAGTACCATCATTCCCCCTAAAAACACAGAGACAAATGATACAGGCCTTAATACTGTTCCTATTGCTAGGTCTAGGCGAATTACTAAAGCTCCTAGTTATCTTTCTGAGTATCATTGTTCTCTTGTTCCTTTTTGTTCCACTTTACCACCTACTACTATATCTACTACATCTTCTGCTTCTTCTTCTTTACCACTTACTCCTATAAACTCTACTTCTTCCAAAATTTCTATTATATCACCTTCATCACCTAAAAAGACTACACCATATCCTATATCTTCGGTTATCTCTTATGATCGATATACACCACTTTTTCAATCCTATATATGTGCTTATAGTGTTGAAACAGAGCCAAAGAATTTTACACAAGCAATGAAATCGGAGAAGTGGACTAAAGCTGCTAATGAAGAGCTCCATGCTCTTGAGCTTAACAAGACTTGGAATGTTGAATCATTGCCTCCGGGTAAGAATGTTGTAGGTTGTAAATGGGTCTTCACGATCAAATACAATCCTGATGGTACTGTAGAAAGGTACAAGGCACGCTTAGTAGCTCAAGGATTCACTCAACAAGAAGGGATTGATTTTCTGGATACATTCTCTCCAGTTGCTAAGCTTGCTAGTGTCAAATTAATGCTTGCTCTTGCTTCTGCAAAAGGATGGAGTTTGACACAAATGGATGTATCCAATGCATTTCTCCATGGTGAATTGGATGAAGAAATCTTCATGAGTCTTCCTCAGGGCTACACTCCTCCTCAGAATACAAGTTTGCCTCCTAACCCGGTTTGTCGACTTCTTAAATCTCTTTATGGTTTAAAACAGGCCTCTCGTCAGTGGTATAAGAGACTTTCCTCGGTTTTATTGGGAGCAAACTTTGTTCAATCACCTGCTGACAATACTATGTTTGTCAAGATTGAATCTGGTTCCTTCATTGCGGCTCTTGTGTATGTGGATGATATAATGATAGCCAGTAATGATGAGACTGCAGTGGAGAGATTGAAAGAATTATTGAGATCTGAGTTTAAGATTAAGGATCTTGGTCCTGCTAGATTTTTCCTTGGATTAGAGATTTCACGGTCTTCAAAAGGAATCTCTGTTTGCCAAAGGAAATATGCTCAGAACTTGTTGGAAGATGCAGGTCTACTTGGATGTAAGCCAAGTTCTATACCTATGGATCCTAATCTTCACTTGGTAAAAGACATGGGAACTCCTCTTTCTAATCCTACTGCATACAGGGAGCTCATTGGTCGTTTACTTTATCTCACAATTACAAGACCAGATATCACTTTTGCTGTGCACCAGTTAAGTCAGTTTATCTCAGCTCCATCAGACGTTCATCTTCAAGCAGCACACAAGGTTTTAAGGTACATTAAATCGAACCCTGGTCAAGGTTTAATGTATTCTGCTGATACAGAATTATGCTTGAATGCATTCTCTGATGCTGATTGGGCTGCATGTAAAGATACAAGAAGATCAGTTTCTGGCTTTTGTGTTTATCTTGGTACATCATTGGTTTCTTGGAAGTCAAAGAAACAATCAGTAGCTAGTCGGAGTAGTACGGAGTCTGAATATAGAAGTATGGCTCAGGCTACTTGTGAGCTCATTTGGTTGCAGCAGCTTCTTAAAGATCTACATGTTACAATGACTTCTCCAGCAAAGTTGTTCTGTGACAACAAATCGGCATTGCATATCTCTTTGAATCCAGTGTTTCATGAACGTACAAAACATATAGAGATAGATTGCCACACGGTACGAGATCAGATTAAAGCTGGCAAACTCAAGGCTCTTCATGTACCAACGGGTAATCAACATGCTGATATTCTCACCAAGGCCTTGCATCCAGGTCCTTTTCACAATCTCCTTCAACAGATGTCTTTGTCAAGCCTATATCATCCAAACCAGACACTTTGATGATATAGACTTGAGGGGGGTATATTGAGTATACTACATTGACCGGTTTATTCTGGTTTTAGTTAACCAGTTTCTGGTTTAATCTTATGTATATAAGCTAAACTTTGTTTTACATTTAGATTAGGCTTTGTAACAATACTTTGATGAGATTAATAAAGTTTGTTTCTTCTGTTATGATAAACCTCTCTCTCCGATCTTGAACCTCCGATCATCGGAGTTTAATAGAACGATATTTGAATCTTCTAGATCTTTTCAATTATTCTAGAATTGAATCTTTAAAATTTTGTGACTTCCACTAATCATTTCGGCAAATCTTGATTGGTTATTTTAGCTATTTGATCTTGATCGATTTCTAGTTTTCGATATATCGGCCTCCTAACATCATGCGTTTGAAAAGGAAAAGGAAAGCGTTAGCTCTTCTTTTTCACGTGAAACGAAATCATTTGACTTCAGATTTTCTTCTTTTTTTTTTCATTTCTATTATGAATAACCAATGCAATTCTATTTACGGATATGAAATCCAAACGTTTCTTATACGGTTATACCAATATAGTTTTAGTATGGTGAGTATGAAAATTATACTAAGCGATGATTTTTTTTTTTTTGTTAAAGGATAAATTGTGATGATTTTATTCATGAAATTATGCTCGATTTATTTGCTTTTATTCAAACGTGGCAAATCTATAATTTGAAGCAACACAACGTAAAATTGTATTTGAACTCCACCATTTATAAACTGTTTTTATCTATACGTACAAAGAACCATACAAATCTACAACTTCAAGTCTTCATTGATGAGTATAATAACAAGAAAATGATGAACAATGGACACTTAAAATGGGCCTAAGTTTGCGGAACAAAGTTCCCTTAATTATGACAAGTTGAAAATGAGAGGTCTTTAAACAAAATTTAGCCAAAGAAAAAGAAGGTAACCATGCAAATGACACATGGAAATCTAAGCTCGACAATCCACCACACCCCACCTTTTAAAGGTTATCTCTCCTTTTAGTAATTTATTAAAACTTATTTGTGAAAATATCCATATATGGTCACCTTTACTGAAGAAAGTAACAAAGTTTAAATTTAAAAAGTTATCAAATGAATTTCAAACAAACCATAGAAAGAAACAACGTTGAAAAAGTTTTCAAATGAGATTTCAACAAAAGTTTGACATTAATTCCTTAGAATAAAAGTTAAAGTTTTGTTGGTAATGTGTCTAACGACTAATGATGTGAGAACACAAATAGATATTATTGAAAATCACTTTGAGAAAGACACCTAGGTATGATTATGTCTTGGCACCATAATTTGTCTAAGACTAGTACAAAGACGTTTTATCTTATTAATTGGCCACAACCCAAAGCATGTGGACATATTTGATTATCTTTTGTAATCACATGGGAATAAGTCCAAATAATTAGTTGGAAACTGAAAAAAAATCATTGATTCAAAGTAGAATAGGAACTATTTCGAAAAACTTACTCTCTACAAAAAAAATTCATAACCCAAGAATAAAACTCAAGAAACAAAACCAAAAGCTACAAAACAAGAGAATAATAATACATGTGATACTCTTGTTCTATACATTAATAATACAAGAGTTCATAATAAATTAATAACAACAACTGGAGATGAACCTTTAATGAGTTGTCCAGATCTTTGTTGGCTTAGGTCCTAAGAGGCTTCATTGAGTTGTTTGATTTTCTCTTGAGTACAATGACCCAAGTGATGGCTTCTAAGAGCAAAGCAATGCCTCCAAGAATGGCAATCACTGCAATGTAAGCCGTCTTGTACGTGTCTTGTGGTTTCAAGATGTTGAGACCTTTGAAGACATTAATGATCCCGAGGATGAGGATCGCATAGCCGACTCCATGGTGGTAGATATTCCAATAGAATCTGTACTTGTGATCTTTCTTAGGCCGCAACAACATCGCAAACATCTATACAAAGAATTTTGAGTTCAAGATGTTAAAATGATTCGCATCGCGATGTTAAGAGTACATACTATTTTAAAGATATGGACATCTTCATTAGAAACATGTGAAACTTAACATGGTATCCAAAACATAGTCAAAAGCTTGAATCTTTGAACTTTAAAGGGTAAAAACAGAGCCTAAAACAGAGATGTTCTTGTAATTATTACCTGAATGGTGGCAAGGGTGAAGAGGGCAATGCCGATGTTACGGTGGGCGGAGTAGCGAATACCCGCGGACTCGTTGCCTAGCTTGAGTCCGGTGGCCCAACCGGCAACACCGATGACATAAGCAGAGAATTGACAAGACACATGGAGGTAAAACCAGGCCGGATCGGCTGATTCAAATACTCTCATGTACCTGGCTATTATTGCTCCTATCGGAAACAAAATTCCCCAACTCACCGCGTTTAATATCCCATGAATCTGCAAAATTATCACCAAATTTAGCTTCAATTACCAAATTAGAAATCATTATCTATCGATTGAAAGAAACTTGTTATGTAGAAATCTTGAATTCAATGTTATATAGAAACTTACATTTCTGTTCTTGATCTTGGCATTTACCTCGCCGCCTCCAGAGATTGTACCACCGCTGTTGTCACCTTTTAAATCGAGAGAGCCCATAGAAGCGAGATTCGGCGGGTCGAAAGCGTGCCTCCCAATCATTCCACCAGGACCTAATTCAGGACCAACTTGCCAAACCTGATTAACCTTTCCCTTTGCCACCAAATCAGCCGGAACCTTAACCCTTGCAAAGATTCTCAAAGTTCCTCCATCCCTCGCGGCCTCCTCGGCTTTCATATCCCAAACATCAAACGCCAATTTCGACGGAATCAGCGAACTATAGGAGCTAATGTTTAGCGTCTTCACGACGGCAACACCATTACCTGGATCCTTGTAAGCGACAAGGGTTTGAGATCCGACCATACCGGTAGCCGTTGGATTAATCGCCCACGCAATCCATCCACCAGGCTTTGCCGGCGGAGCAGAGAAGACGACGGCGAGACTTGTGTTGGAGGCATCGTAGGAATAGTGTAGGAAGGCTTTGAGTTGAGGGAGGTCAAGGCAGTGAGGGTAAGTTTTATCGCCGGAAAACGTCTGTGACTTACAGGTTTGTGAGACAGACGGTGAGATTAGCAGAGCCAAGAAAATGAAGGAGAGAGAGATTCTTACGGAAGAAGAAGAAGAAGACATTGTTGGATGGATTGTAATAACCGTAAAGGTTTTTGGCGGAATAAATAGAACTCTCTTTTTAAGTGGTGATAAAACTAGCATGTGTTTTGGTGTGTGATATTTAACATGGACTAGCCAATAATAGATTTTTCAGTTTTAGTTTTTTTTTTTGTTTTGCTTTTTTAGAATACATCAGAATGATGTAAGGAATCTAAAGAGAACAAATTCAGATTAAGTACGTTTTGATAGTTATACATTACACCAAAGAAGGACTTTGTTCACACCAAGAATGATTTTTATTCTTGGGTTTCTACGTTTTTTTTGTATAAAACAAAATTAGGTATTTCCATAACAGTTAAATATAGTGATTCTAAATTTTGTAAATGTTTGGAAAAAAAATATTATATAATTTATCGGCAAAAAAAAGATATATATCCAACATACTTTTTCTTATAATAAACTCTTTAACAGATTAGTTTCTTAAATGTGAATAACTATGTTAAATAGCCATAATAACTAATGTACTTATCAACATCATTATACCAACAACAACATCATCATGTCATCATCATAAACATCATCACCAACACATTCATAATAATAATCATGTTTATCACCATCATTAGAATCACATATTTGTTTCAAACTAATATCATCATTTAAAGTGGCAAATCTAGAAAATGTTATTATTTATTTTGGTAAGAAAATCTAGAAAATGTTATTAGTACTCAAGACATAATAAATTGGGATTTTTACTCTTGAGTCAATTAGGTGCATAACATTATTTCTACCTTTTTCTATATTTTTTTTGTTTGTAGATACACTTTAACAAAGTGATATACTACACCTTACATGAGTGTATCTGGACTTACTTTTTACATTATCTTCAGATTGAACACAAGAAGCATAAAGTGCCTCAAGTTTACAAAAACACAATATACATATACTTTGTTCTTTCATTTAATATCTCTTTGCCCAAAATATATAGTTAAGAAGATTAAGAGTATTAAGAACACACAAGAGCACATAAAAAAGTTCAAGCCTTGCCTTGTTGAGATCTTCCCCACCTAGCCATTGATGGCCAAGCCTTCCGGTGACGGCATTTGTGACCTCCACAAGAGTTGTGCTAAGGAAGAAACCTAACGCGGTTGAACACCATCCCAAAGCCGTGCTTATACTCTTCATGTTCGACGGAGCTTCTCTATAGAAGAACTCTAGCATCCCTCCTAAAGTCAACATATCAGAGACACTTAGCATCAGATACTGAAACACTAGCCACAGAACCGAGATTCTGAAGTTGTTATGAACCACTTCATGTTTCCTCTTGACCTCCACGATGGCAGCAACCGCCATCGAAACAGAGGAGAGAGCTAGGCCGAGTCCAATGCGTTTCAAATTGAAGCTTGATGATCTATTGTTGTTGCCTAATGAGATCTTTTTTCCAAAGAATTCGTATAAAGGTATTGAAAAGAGCATGAAGATGAGAGGAATGGCGTTGAGGGAAGGTACGGGGATCTCGAAAGAGTGAAAGAGTTTCTTGTTCATGAGCATTCCTTGTTGTGCAGAGAAGGTAGATAGTTGTGCCACGCAACAGCTCATGACAATTGTGCTACCAAAGATTGGTAAAAGACCCAAAAACGTTCTTGTTTCCTCAACTTCTGTTTCTGAGATGTTTTTGTTCAACATTGCTTTATCTATCCACCTGAAAAATTAAATTCACGTAGAAATCAAAAATTAAGTTTACGAGTTTTTTTGTTTTGTTTTTTCAATAACTAAGAGGTTTTGGGCCTAAGTCCGTAAATCCCCTCTGGCCGAGGAACATAGCATATTAGACTCTTAAGGTATTTCAGCTCATTCATCATGGACTAAATGAGTGTTTGTATTTTCAGTTCACTTATACATTAGATTATGTCTCTTTCAAAGCAATGTTCAATACTTACTTTAACTTGTTGTGACCAAAGTTCTTGTCAGAAGGGATAAGACTTCGCATCATCTCTTCATCCAAATCAGATTTATTTCGGTTTCTTGCGGCAGAAATAATCACAATTGCAATCTTTTTCAACGGACTTCCATTAGGACGCTTGAACCGATAAAACGGTAGCCCTACCGTAAAAATACAGAGCGCACTCGCTAGAATCCCAACCGATATATCGAAGCTACACATCCACCCTTTCTTCTCCTCGATCCACAACACAACGGTTACGGCCAAGAGGCATCCAAAGCATATAGAGAAGTATAACCAATCGAAGAATCTTGAGATCAGTCTTGGATTTCTTCTGTCAATTTGATCGCCTCCGTGAGTGGGCAACGAGGCCTTTATACCGCCCGTACCAGTAGCCATCGCATAGAGTCCTGTGAAAAGAATCACTGATTGAAGAGTTGAAGGTGTCTTACCTTTATCGGGTAGTAACTTAGGGTTATGAGCTTGGAACGTCAACAAGATCAATCCCTATCATATAGTTAAACCTTAAGTTAATGTGATTATTCATTTCATCATTAAAATACATTATCTAAATGGTAGATAACATTTTATAAAGTTTTTAATTACCATGAGTTCAATGCAACAGAAGATGATGAAAGTTGGGAAATGAGTGAGGAAAGAGTCAGCGATAAAACCACCAAAAAGAGTGAGTAAAAACGATGTTCCCATAAAATTAGTGACCATGTTTGCTGCTGTGGCTGGTGAATAATGCATCGATCCCATGAAGTATTTCACGAAATTGAATCCATTAGCTATGAACACTATGTTCTCCATCATCACCACAACTACATTTACCACACCATTTGTATTCTGAATTATTAAAGATTGTAAAATAAAATAAAAATTCGAAGTTTTGAGTTTTAAATATTTACCACAAACAATTGATGCAGCTCTTATCCCACCATGTTTGCCAGAGATTGCCTCTTTACCTTTCCAATCTTCAAACTTCTCATCCATATCATTCTCCATAGCTTTGTTATATGAATTGCTATGACTTATGTGTATATGTGCTTTCGATGTATCTTATGAACACGAGAATTCTAACTCATTATATAATAGTAAACAAGTATTTTTTTTTTTCGTTTTTTTGGTCAAAAGTAAACAAGTATTTATATGTAGCTAATATCAATCTAATTCTGACATAGTTACATGTGACATTTGTCAAACATGCTACCCAATTTAGACCTCCTTTTAATGAAAGGTAAAATATATAAATATATTTGTTGATAAATATGGAAATATAATAATCCACAAGATCAAATGATTATTTTAAAATATTAAAATTTATAACTTTAGCTTAAAACACTTATCATGATTTTTAATTTTTACAAAAGTATATATATATAGTTTAAGATATCTTGAATTCATATATGTAAATAAATGAACCATATATTTTACTCTGTAAGCACAATATCTTAAATTGTATAGGATAAAACTTGTTTACTCATCTGCAAAGACTTTCAAATTAGAAAATTTAGATAATTATTAAACTGGTTTCAATTATTTGTTTTACATTTTTTTTGGGCGCTAAAATGTAAATATCATATAAAATAAAATAAGGTATTACATGAATGCATTACTTAAACAAAAACAATGTTGGCAAAAAAACTAAAACAAGATTACAATTTTTTTCGATCTCGGATTTTTGTGATGCTATATTTTTTTTTTTTTGGGAAAATAGCATAAAAATTTTCACTTCTTTGTGTGCCTGCGAAAAGTGATGGTATTTCTAATCTCACTATCAATATAGTCATATAGATGAAGATTGTCGACATTGAAAGGTGTTGAGAGTTGTTATAAACATTATTTTCTTGTTAACTTTTTGAAGAAGCGTTTGAATTAATTAATACGATAAATTTTTAGTATCGATTTATAATTCGCAAATCCATTGTTATTGAGATGCGTTCGTAAAACGAGGTTGAACCACAAAAATAGAATAAGTAAACAAGCAGCAAGAAATGCAGTAATGGAAACTAAAAATTTATCAATAAACTTAAAGGCATTGAATATCAGGCTATTTTGTGTGGATTCATGAGAATAGAAACACAAAAAAAAAATAGTAGCAAATTATAGTTGGTTTAGAACTCATTGTAAAACCAATTTAGTGATTTTTTTAATAGCGGTAATCGTCAATAAAATGTGGATCATTATGCCATCTTGTAAAAGATGACAAAAGGAGATACTCTCACTCAGCTGAAGAGAAATTTTGGTCTCGATTCTTAATAGAAGATTGTTATATTCATACTTTCTTTATTATAGTAGACTCACAAATTATTGAACTTAAATGGGGTAGTTACTAGGAGATTGTACAGTATGTTGCGAATGATGGAGTCAAAACGCTTTTGACCCACCGTTCCCTCTCGTAAGGTGCACCACGAGACCTTAGGAGCAAAAAAATCTAGTGCATGTCATCCTTCTCTGGCAGTCCACGACTCCGAAAGGAAAGCTCGAATTACAGCCCTAGTGAAGAAGGCAATGCATCTCAGGATCTGACTACCAAAAGTTTTAGATATGGACTCCTACCTTGCAGCTGGGTACCTGGGATAATATCCTAATGTATCCGACTCACTGGATAGTAGACCTGACGACAAACAAACTGGATGTTTACGATATGTGTGAATTTGTTTTATCACGCATCACATAAATCTAAAGAGACTCTCTACCTTTAGAATTTCAAAGCTGAAGTGTCGGTGGCTATTTTTGGGAGTGACCTATCACTTAAAGTGGTGTGCCCATTAGTAGGGAGTGGTCACTTCATCTATATATACCCTTGCTAAACATTTAATACACTGAACTACCTAAAAACCATTAAACGCAAAGCATGTGGGTTGTTTACTAACATCATTTGTTACCTACATACAACATTAACTACATGCTAAGAACATGCATGATTAGGCCACTAATCTTGTCATCTTGTAAGGATAAAGAGCTAAATAGTCTCTACGAAGCACAAGAGTAGGCGGGTCAACCCACAAGTGGACCGAGCACAAGAGACTCATAACACTCCGATCCTTTTCTGTCATCCCAAGATAATCTGCCTGTAATTATTTTGCAGGTCTGTCATACTCTCGAGAATTTAACCTGGCACATACTACACGATTTTCGAAGTTGGACGCGTAAGCAATCCTGAAAATCACCCCAAACAATGTTCCTTTATTTTATCAAACGTGTATTGACAATTTTATATTTAAAACTATAACCTTGGTTCATTTATTATGGTCTCCATTAACTTTTGTTGAACTTTCTCCATATTGCTGTTGTCTCTTATTCGTACTAACTATATGTATCCATCTGATCCAAAGTCACCAATCGTGTTTTGAATTAATATATATATCCATACTATAGCATATAAAGTAAATAAAGAAAAAAATAAAATATAAATACTTAAATATACACAAACAATTAAAATTTAAAATTTAATTGAAAATACCTATTAATTTGGTGGAACACCTTACTTTAGTAAGATTTCTTAGAATTATTTATTAAATATCTCTTAAACATATTTTAAGAAATACAAATCTATAAATACCTAAATTTACATAATATTTTCTTCTCAACTATTAGATTATAATAATATTTTAAATTCATAATGTGTTACCTTATCTTACGAATTAATATATATATATATATATATATATATATATATATATATATATATTGTGAATTTCTTACACCTATTTTCAAAAATAATTATATCTTATTATTTAAAATTAATTTTTATGTTCCTTTTCTACTTTTCTTTTTAAAACGAAATTGTTATTTCTTCGTATTGCTTCAACTTTTCGATGATAAATAATATCGTGTGTTATGTATTCTGACATGAGAAGATGCATTGATCGAGGTTCTTGGCTTATAACCTTTTAGTCAAAATAAATAAATAAGAGTTTAACGCTTTTACTTATCCTATAAACAAAAAAAAACATGAATCCGAGTCAAGGTAGATCTTTTAATTCGGAGTATAAAATGGTACATATCTTAAAATAGATATGTGTTTGAATGTGAGATACATATAATTTATTATATATATACTACATTTATTTATTTTATAACTTTCAAAGCACTATCAATTCATTTTCTATCATCTACGATGAGCAAATCCTTTCAACTCTCGTTCACCATTCTTATTGTCTTCACAATTCTTGTACTAGGTTTGTATTGACATTTAGTATTGTCTTAATTTATTACATATATCTTTTTTTTTTCGAAGAAACAAGTTTGGAATACTATATTAATTCTTTAAAGTATTTATAACTATGTTATATAAATTTGCCAAATATTCTTTATTTTAGAATTTAGCAATATCGAGTTCTGCTCTTTTTCTTAAATCCATATCAGATCTAACTAAAAAAATAAGTTCAAAATTTTTGTACTAGACCTAAGATATTACAACCCCAAAGATACTTTGAAATTTCTTCACATCTTGAATAATTCCTTAGTTTATAAATTCAAATGGTCTTAATATACTTTGAAAATTATTGTGATATCAATTGATTAAACATTTTTCTATTGCTTTTTTTGTCGTCAATAATGCTTTTCCATTTGTGTTGCATTGATAAATGTTTCAAACTGCATCTATTGTTTTTAAAATTATGGGTGCTATATAAATTTACATGTAGATTTCTATGGTACATAAAAATTATTTTAATATAGTAATTGGTTTAGTTACATTTTTTTTTCAAAAATAATTAATTGATGATAAAAAATTATTATTATATATGTATAATGTCTTTAAACATCTATCTTCACAATAGAAAGATAAAATATTACTTTCTCATTTTCAATGCATAAACTAAACTTTATATTGTCAACGTATTTACTATAACAGGAGTGGTTGGAAATGTGGAGCAAAAAAGCCAAGATTGGTGTTGGAGCGTTGTAAACAAAGACCGTTGTCTTCAGAAAGAGTGTGAGTCTCTGTGTCTGAAAAAAAATCCAAAAGGAAAATTTATTTGCGCACCTTCAACCCCGGGAGGACCTTTTCAATGTCAATGTCGTCATCCTTGCCGTTAAGTGTGTTTTTTTTTAAACAAAAAAATCTCAAATAATGCAAAGACATGTTTAGAACATGTGATTTTGCTAAGATATGTTTTTACGATAATAAAAGGTTTTTTTTTTCTTATTGTATGTTTATGATGAGAAGTTTTATTTATATCCACATGAGAGCATAATAATGTTTTTGATTTCAAAAGTATTATACCAACCTCATTAGGACACACTAATTTTAATATATGACATATAAAAAAATGAATTTGATTAAGTACTAATATATCGAAACTATAAATTATGGTGGTTATAAGAAAGTGATTAAATTACTGGTTAGAGGAGGATGTTTTCTGTTTCATCGAACCTGTTACATGTGGTGTGGTGATGTACATGAGAAGTGGCAATATCATGAGCCGGTCCTAAAAATATTGGGGTCAAATACGAAACAAAATTGGGAGCCCCGAACGATTGTTTTTCATTTGGCTGCTCTCGGGACTGACCCTGGCGTATGCCGTTTACGCTTTCATGTTTACTATTATTAATAAAAGGTCAGGATTTAAGAAAATTATTATGATTCGATCATAGTTAAATCTGTTTTTCTTCTGTTTTTTATGATTAGTAATTCAGTAATCATAAACGGAAATTTTGATCTTTGTTCTAGTTAGAAAATGTCACTTTCACACTTTCTTAATTTTGGTATAATCAAAAATTATGAAACTTAAATGGGGTAGTAACTATTTCTTCCCATTATTACATGACACATCAACCAACTTGAAAACCACCACACACAAAAAAAACCATTACGCAACTTAATCACTTGGTTTAGACTTCCACTACATGCATAGCAACTTACCTAGATTAAGGAGTTCTCTATAGACAAGACAACATACTTTGTTCTTTTGCCTAATATCTTTTCGCCCAGAAAATATAATTAAAAAGATTAAGGGTATTAAGAACACCTAAAACCACATAAAACAGTTCGAGCCTGGACTCATTAAGATCGTCGCGGAGCCATCCCGTGATGCCATTAACGACCTCAACAAGAACCGAGCTGAGGAAGAAACCCATTGCGGTAGAGCACCACCCTAACGCGGTGCTCATGCTCCTCATACTCGCTGGAGATTCTCTAAAGAAGAACTCTAACATACCTCCAACAGTCAACATATCCGAGAAACTCAACAAAACAAATTGAAGCTCTAACCAGAACACAGAAATTTTGATGTTGTTGTGAACCGCTTCATGTTTTCTTTTGACCTCTACAATGGCTGCAACCGCCATTGAAATAGACGTGAGAGCTAAACCGGATCCTATACGTTTCAAGTTGAAGCTGGACGATCTTTCGCTATTGGATAAGATCCTTTTGCCGAAAAGCTCGAATAAAGCTAAAGAAGAGAGCATGCACAGTAGAGGAATGGCATTGAGGGAAGCCACGGGGATCTCAAAGGAACGCGAGAGTTTTCTGTTTGTCACCATGCCTTGTTGAACGGAGAAGGTTCCCATTTGTGCGACGCAACAGTTCATTACAATTGTGCTCGCAAATATTGGTAGAAGAGCTAGAAACGTTCTTGTTTCTTCAACTTGTGTTGCAGAGATCTTGTTGTTGAGCTTTGCTTTATTCAAAAACCTGGAAATTATAGTTTACATGATAATTAAATACCGATCCCAAAACTAAATAAAAAACTAGGCTCTAATTTTCACTAAATTAAGTCATTAATCATTAGTATACATTAATACATGTTATAACGACTTTGAATATCACAAAGATAATAAATAAAAAGTAGCTTTCAAAAATATATTAACAACAATCTATGGGTTCCGGAAAATATTCAGTTCTTTACTATATAACAAAAGTCGTTCATCAAACTTAGATTGTCAATTTTCTATCTATATACGAATTGTAAATATTTTTTTTTTAAAAAGACCTAGTGTATCAAAATCCACAAATCTTTTATTTTTGATGTTTATATTTGTTTCTTTTGTTAATTATAAAGGACCGATGTATAAGGCCCCAAACTATGGTTGTGCCACTTCTCAAGAACGTTCCTGATATTCGTGGAGAAAAAGAACAAAATAAGAAAAAAGATGTGTTTAGAATAATTACTTGAACTTGTTGTGATGAATGCTTTTGTCGGTAGAGGTATGATTCTGTGTCACCTCTGCATCCGTTACAAACCTATTTCGGTTTCTTGTGGCAGAAACAAACACATTCACAATTCTGGTCAAAGGACTTCCTGCTGGGCGCTTGAATCGATACATCGGGCATCCCACAACGAAAATGAAGATCGCAGAGACTAAAACCGCGGTAGAAATATTGAAGCTTGTGCTCCATCCTTTGTTCTCCTCGATCCAAACCATAAAGGTAACGGCCAAGAAACCTCCAAGGCAGACAGAGAAGAAATACCAATTGAAGAATCCTGAGATCAGCCTCTGGTTTCTAGTTCCAATCTGGTCGCCTCCATGAGCAGGCAACGACCCCTTGACACCTCCAACACCAATAGCTATTGCATAAAGTCCGGTGAATAGAACCGTTGATTGAAGAGTCGAAGGTTTTTTACCTCCTTGAGGTTGTAACTTAGTGATATGAGCTTGGAGTGTCAACATGATCAAACCCTATCAAAAAAAGAGTAAACTTGTTCTATTTAAAAAAAAAAAAGACTGTTAAGCATGATTTAATAGAGTTTTTTTAATTACCAGGAGTTCAATGAAACCAAAGAGGACAAAAGCGGCGAAGCGAGTGAGAAAAGAGTCCGCAACAAAACCACCGAAAATAGTGAGCAAAAACGATGTTCCTATGAAATTAGTCACCATGGTTGCTGCTTTGGGTGATGAGTAATTCATTGATTTTGTAAAGTACATCATGAAGTTGGTTGAATATGCTAAGAACACCATATTCTCCATCGTCTCTACAACTATCCATTAGACAACACCAAACTCATGAATCTATAATGATATTAGTAATTGTTAAATGGTTTTTTTTTTTTGAGTTTTAGAAAGTTACCACAAGCAATGAAAGCAGCTTTAATCCCACCATGTTTGCCAGAAATTGCCTCTTTACCTCTCCAATCTTCAAACTTCTCTTCAATCTCAACCTGCATCTCTTTGTTCTCTTAGATTGACTATGAATGGATATATGTTTTTGTGTTTATATTTGGTGTATACGTTTATTATACCTTGAAGTTACCGATGGTAGGTTGCTTCTTGGTTTTAGTATATAAAGAACAAAGAAGAAACTGCGTGAGAGATGTGAATTAAGAGAAGAAACGGAAAGCAATTACTATCTATTGACCTCTTTCACTAGTGTCCACTACTTTCAAGTTTGGTTTGTTTTTGTTTGGACGGTTGCAAATAATTACAATATTTTTGTATTACTATATGAATTACATATAATATTATCACGATTCTCAACGGTTTTGTTACATTTCTCAGAAAAAACTTTAACCTAGTAAAATTTGAATTTTAAAAAGAACATGTATTCGCCGAGGTCTCTCATAACTACGTGGTTTAGTCCTTTGTACGGCACCTCGTACGTTGGAGTTCCACTCCTCCATATCATAAAAAAGTCAATGGACCATGTTGGCCAATAAATGAAATAAAAAAAAACACGTGTATTCAGACCATATATTTTCGTCTAATGGTATTTGATCATCATTTCACTAATTTTAAAAATTGATAATAATTTCAATAATCTAGTAAGAAAATAAATTCGGAAATAAGACTATTGTTTTTTTTTTTTTGTTATTTGTGAATTTTCTAAATTATCGAATTATATACTTATGGTTGAATATGTATATATATATTCTTCATATTTTTAGATGGATGACCTTGTGGCAATAAAATACATAAAATCAACTTTATTTACAGATTGATTAGTAACGACTGTTACCTTTGGATTTAAAGACTTTGACTACGGAGATGTTGGCATTTTACTGTAGATAATTTTATGATTGATTGGTAAAGATTGTATCTGTAAAAGCTGTGACTTTAAATAATTTAAATTATACCAAATTTAAATTAAGACAATGATATAAATTTATGTATAAATATTGCGTGTTTATCATATTTTTCATATTGGCATCAAGTTTAATATTTTGTTTGTTCTCTTTTATATAGAAAAATAGATCTTAAAATAACGGAAAAAATGAATTGTCAATTAATTTGAACTCTATTTAAATTAATTCATAAATAAATTTTAGAAATTATACATTTTGAGAATAAGAAAGAAATTTTTTTTTTTTTTTTTTTTTTAATTTTTAAAGTCATGTTTACCTGACTTTAAAAAAAAAACTCAAAACAAAGAGTAGAAAAACAAGAGAATGCTATGAAGGGTTTTAAATTATGTAAAGCTGAAAAAGCATGATTGGAAAAATAAACTGTGAGGACTTTAAAAAAATTTTAAAGTCTTAAAAGTGCTTGCCAATTACCCTTAGTTATTTTATATTCTTGTATTGAAATTATTTTTTAATGGAATTGATGCTGTCGTTACTAAATGATATCGAAGTTTCAACTATAGAGTAAAGAAAAAGTGATATTGGATATCATATCAAAGGTTCATGCATCTACCATTTCTTTTATATTCAGAATAGAAATATGCCAAACAAATAGATATATGAGTGTTTTAGACTTGCAAGGAAAGGAAAAATACATACACAACCTTTTTATTACTACCAAAAAGTTTTATATTTGTTGTGGAATTTTTTTCTTAATTGGGTTCAAATACTAAAAAGATAAATTTCTTGAAAAAGCGTAAAAACATTATAAAAACATTAGGACACATGTCTGATATTTTCGAAGGGGTTTTAGATGGTTAAGCTATTGGTATGTACTTAGGGGTGTCAAAATGGTTAACCCAACTCAACTCATTACCCAATGAGTTTAGAGTTTAATGAGTTCATGGGTTGACCCAACTCATTTAGCAAATGAGTTGAGTCAACCCATGAACTCATTTAATTTGATGGGTTAGAAGGTTAAATGGGTTGACCTATTAACCTATTAATGTAACAAATAAATTAATAATTAAAATATAATAATAATAATAATAATAATAATAATAATAATAATAATCATCATCATCATCAACATCACTATTATTTGTCGGACAAATCACGGATTTACGTTTTTGGCGGGAAAATTATACATTCTTGTTTTGGGTTAAAAATTATAAATTTTTGGCAGGAAAATCACGGATTTACGTTTTTTGGCGGGAAAATTACGGATTTACGTTTTTGGCGGAAAATTTTTCATTCTCATTTTTGGTTAAAAATTATAAAAAAAAATTGGCGGGAAAATCACGGATTTACGTTTTTGGCGGGAAAATTTTACATTCTTATTTTTGGTTAAAAATTATAAAAAAATTTGGCGAGAAAATCACGGATTTACGTTTTTGGCGGGAAAATTATGGATTACGTTTTTGGCGGGAAAATTTTACATTCTCATTTTTGGTTAAAAATTATAAAAAATTTTGGCGGAAAAATCACGGATTTACATTTTTGCGGGAAAATCACGGATTTATAATTTGATGGGAAAATTGTGTATTCACATTTTTGGCGGGAAAATTAAGGACTATTCAATTGGTTTAGAAGTTTTGGGTAGACTCAAATTGAAATCGGTTTAGAGATTTGAATTGGTTTGATTCAATTTAACAAAAGTTGATGGGTTAAATGGGTAAACCATTGAAACCATTGACCCATTACAACCCAACTCATTTGATCCATCAACCCATTTGACTCAATAACTCATTTGAGTCAAAATTTTCAACTCATTAGGGTTCATGGGTTGAGTTGAGTTGGGTTCACCCATGAATCTTGACCCATTTTGACACCCCTATATGTACTCCTCGTTGAATCATATGAGTGTATTTGTAGAGTACTTCATATATCTCTAAATTTTGACTGATATGCTTGATAAATTTGTGAAATTATAAAGATCCAAACACTTAATTTACATAATAGCTTGGGAAGCGCAAACAATCAGAAGTCAATTCGCGTGGTAAAATTAAGTATAAGCGGACACAAAAATCTCGTTAAAATGCATTCAAGATATATTACTATAAAAACAACATATTCATTTTGATTACATATATCATATATGCAGTCATTGATTAGGATAATGGTGATTGTTTTCTTCTGCGTTAAGTTACATTTATTTCGATCTTCAATGTGTGTACAAGATCATTCCTTCGTATAATGTAACCCTTACCGCATTGATTTCACCAACTTTAGCTATTGGTGTATTCTCCTTATCATTTGTAAAGTAGAACTTCTACATCCCCAAGTTTTGACTGATATGCTATATTTGATAGCTATATTACATGTGACGTTATAAAAATTCTAATAAGTAATTTACATAATTTTCTTGGTAGCATTAGACAATTGACAAGTCAACTCGCATCCCAAAATTTTAAATATATACAGACACGAAAATCTCGCCGAAATTTACTCAGTGCGGATATGTCTAAATATCATTCTAATGCGAGTGTACGGAGGATATTTCCAAACATTCGTGTTTTTAGCGGGTATGTCTTGTCTATCATAACTAGCACATCATGCTAAAAAGAATTTTTACGACGTTACACTATCGTGATATAATCTTACCAAGCAAAGCAAGTGTTATAGCAAGTTGATCAAGCACTAAAGTACTCATGGAATTACTTAAGGACTTTCCCAAAAAAAAAAAAAAAAAAAATTTACTTAAGGAGTTAAGGTATATTAGTAATTTAGTATATAAAACAACTATATAAAAAATTTCTGTCAAGCGAAAAATTTAAACAATTTAATAAATATCAAGAAAACATTGATAACTATTTTGCTCTTATTAATCTAATTAATTTAATTAATCTAATTAATTTAATTAATCTAAGCCCAAAGCCCAAAGCCCAAAGCCCAAAGACTCAACCAACATTATTTTTAATAACTCTTTTCAAATAAATAAAAATATTTCACCCACATTTATAAAATATAATCATAAACAACCCATCAAAATGAAAGAGTATGTCACAATTGTTAATTTTTCAATGACACACTTATTTGAAACAGTGAGAATATGTCATACTACATCCTTAAAAAATCACAAGCAATTTCTGGTAGTTGAATTAAAAACCTATGAAATAAAAATATAGTTAGTTTTTATCAAATTGATGTTACGATTACCAGAAGTTGAAATTAAGCGTAAATTGTTAATTTAAAAATTTTAACTTATAAAGCAGAATAAATATTGAGACATGCAACAACTAAAAATTTTATTGACTATATTTTTAGAGTGCACTCAATGCGGATATATTAAAACATCTCGTCAAACTATATTTAATGCGGATATATGCGGACATGAAAATCTTGTCAAGATGCATTCAGTGCGGATATGTCCAACCATCATTCTATTGCGAGAATCCGGAAGACGTAGCCAAACAGTCATATTTTAGCGGATACATCTCGTCTACCATAAATAACACATCGTGCAAAAAATATTTTTACTATATTACAATATAATCTTACCACGCAAAGCAAGCGGCATGGCGGATTGATTTATTTTAGGGTATTACTATAAAAAACATATTCATTGTTAATCTAATTAATATAAAGCCCAAATATGCAAATAACATTGGTATGATTTACTATTTAACTAAGAAACAAGAAATTTTTTTATTCGCATGTAAAAATTATAAACATAAACAACCCGACAAAATGAAGGAGTATGTCACAACTATTGATGTGCTAATAAAAATTCTTTTTAAGAAAAAGTGTGAATGTGTCATTGTACATCCTATAAAATCAACATCAATTTTTGGTATTAAACATAAAATATAGTAAATTTCAGTGAAATTGAGATTGAGATGAGCAGAAATTGACATTAAGCTGAAACTAAAATTTAAGAACTTCAATCATATAAAGCTGACTAAATTTTTGGATGTGCAAAACCTAGAGTTTTATATTACTTAGATTTTCAAAGTTTTTCCTGTGCGGATATCTCCAAACATCTCGTTAAAGTACATTCAGTGCAGATATATGCAGACGCAAAAATCTCGTCACAGTGTATTCAGTGCGGATATGTCCAAACATCTTTCTAATGCGAGAATACGGAGGAGACTAACAAACAATCGTGTTTTTAGCAGATACATCTCATACCATAAATATCACATCATTCCGAAAAAAAAGTTTCATTTAGAGCGTCGCAATAGATTTTTCTAAGCAAAGCAAAGCAAGTGGTATGACAGGACGATGCAATAGTTTATATAAGTCAATATATTAAAGGTATTACTATAAAACACTTATACAGTTTTACTATCTTAAATATGTCACTGATTGTGAGCATGAGATATTGATTTCCTTTGCGGTGAAATACATTTGGAGTTCTGGATTTTCTATGTATGCACTCAGAGCCGGTCTTCCCATAAGACGATTGAAGCATTATGCTTTAGACCACTATTCAAATATTATTTAATTAGGCCATATTTTGAGAGTGTATTGGTTAAATTATGTAAAGTGGAGATAGATCATATAGTAGAATTTGTTCCCATTGTTCTCATTTTCTTTCTTTCTATTCCACATTAATATTTTCCCCTTTCTATTAATTTTTCACGTAAACCTTTTGTATTCTGATTTTTTTTTCTCATACTTTGTTTAAATGCAACTATTATTAAATTTTACACCTAAGATAATTATTAACCAAAAAGATGATAAAACACTATAAAATTAGTTGAGAGGAAACACATATTTATGTGGAGTATAAATACTTTTCATTATACATAAGCCACATATCTAACATTTTGCTTTAGGCTTCAAAAATGTTAGGACCGACCATAAGTGCACTTGTAGAATCATATGAGCATTTATATAAAAAAACTTTAGTTAATTTCAGTCAAATTAATGTTAAGCTAAGCTAAAAGCCTAAAACTGACACTAAGTAGAATTTGTTAGTTTTATTATTTGAATCATATAAACATATTGAGCATAAGAAAACTATTTCAAAAACAGTTTAAATTGGTTGAGATGAAACCATATAAAATGTTCCGATCCACGACCGGAGAGGATATAGATATAAGACCAAACCTCTTAATTATTCATGAAAAAACTATTTCAAAAACAGTTTAATAATTATCTTGATAACCAAAATAAGTACACATTTTTTATAACCATTTCCACCTTTTTTATTTAAAAGAAATTGATGAACCCATTTAAAGTTATAGCCAAGGTCCAACGATGGTTTGAGTCTACCCCCACATACACCATAGACTATACGACTATATACTATATTTACATGTAATAACTGGTTAGATTAAATGAAACAAAAAAAATTGAATTAAAATACCAAAAAATTGTTATCACTTTCTAAATCGTGATTATTATTATTCAACCCCTTAACCCATTCCCCACTATTATCACCTTTAATTTTCATATTAGCATTAGTATTATCATCACCACTCTGTTTCTCACGTTGTTCTCTTGCAGCAAAAATCTCTTGGACGATATTCTCCACATCCATTTTCGTATTTACATCTTTACCCTTATCACCACCGTCCTCCGGCGCCGGAATATACGGCGGTCTAGAAACCAAAATCACCTTTTCCCAATCCACTCCTTTGAAGAAATCGTGACCTTTAATTTCCTCAACGTTAATCCTACGGCTAGGATCTTTCTCCAACAATCTTCTAATCAAATCCCTCAACGACGTCGTTTCACCGGTTAGATTCGGTGGTTTAGATAAAATCCGGTAAAATGTCTCTTTCCGGTTCGATCCTCTAAACGGCGTCGTTCCATACAACATCTCGTATAGAACAACCCCTAACGACCACCAATCAACGGCGAAATCGTGGCCGTCTCCGGTTATAACCTCCGGCGCTACGTATTCCTCTGTCCCAACGAAAGAATTCGACTTTTCTCCAGATGAATCTGACACCGCCAATGTAGATGATGAGTGAATCGAGATCGATTCCTGCGGCGAGATTCCTGAGTTACAAAAACTGGAGAAGCGGAAGAGACGTTTCTTTCTCTTCATCGTCGGCGACGGTTTAGACGGTGACGGTGACGGTTGCGGTGTTCTTGGAGCAAGATTTGTAGAAAGATCGAAATCTATAAGCATTAAATGTCCATTTTCTTGGATCATCACATTGTCAGGCTTTAAATCTCTGTACACAATTCCTTGATTATGCAAATAATCAAGTGCTAGTACAAGCTCCGCCGCATAAAATCTGAAATCAAAACAAGAAAATGAATATATCAACAACATAATCAAAGACAAATCAATCGCATTGTGAAAAAATCCTAGGCAGAAACTCAGACTAATCCCCAAAGGCGGCATTCTTGACATTTAATTAATGTGTGGTTGACAAAAAAAAAAGACGTATACAATGAAAGATTTTGGTCAAATAACAACAAATTACCTGATAATCTCGTCGGAAAACATACTTTCCGATTGCATTTTCCTCAAAGAATTAAGATTCTGTCCCGGACAATAATCGATGGCATAACCGATGACTTTATCGGTAGCTAAAACTCCGTGAAGAGACGGAAAAAGAGGATGGTCGAATCTGCTTAATACTCCTTGCTCGAAACTCACGCGTTTATACTCATCAACTTCACTTTCTCTTGCCTTCTTTTTCTTCTTCTCTATAGCTTCCTTAAGTATAACTTTCAAAGCAAGCAATTTAGCGTCGTCGTCGCGGACAAGAAACACAACTCCTTTAGCACCACGACCTAGTAATGACAAAACCTCGAGTCGATTAAAATCTAGAGCCCGGCTCTGTTTCTCATCTCCCTCTCGCATAATGTCGACGTTGATTAACTCCGTTAGAATTAAGAAAGTGTAGACAATGTCGTTTTGTCTCTCTTTGGTTCTACGTAGTAGGCGACTTCTTATATTATAAGAGAAAGAATTAACGAATCTTCAAAAACGTCCACTCGTTTTTTCTTTTTCTTGCCTTGGCGGGGAAGATTTCAAAAAAGGCGAAATAAAATTAAAATTAAAAAAGTCAATAATAAAGAAAACGAAAAAACGCCTGAGATTCGTTGCCATGCGTTTGACCAATTTAGCCTTCTTGTTTAGTTCTGAAACTATCAAGAAAGTGTTTTGTTGGTTTGACCAAATGTGTAATGTAATTTATTCGTCGTGTTTAAGACAAACACGTGGTGTTCTAGAGGATGTGACGTCAGGGGTGACGTTTTACGTGGAGGTGAAAGAACCTAGAAGGCGTGGAGGAGGGAAGTCCAATGCCTTGAAAGACGCGGCGGCTTCCGAGCGTTGAAGCTTTTTGACCGGTCAGCGAAAGAGCATAATGGAATACTTCAACTGTTCAACATTTCTAAAGCCCAAAAGGCCCAAAAATGGCATTGATTTACTATTTTTAAGAATGGAGTAAGGAAACAGAAGACTGTTTTTTTTCTTTATTACTTATAAGCTCAAAAAGATTTCTTTAGTTTTGGAATGGAATCTCAAATTTGGTGTAAAAACATTATTTTACTGGTATGTACAACAACTGTAGATATTTTTCTATTTTAGAAAAAGAAAGTATAACAAAAATTAAAACTTATTTCAAAATTAACAAACTATTGATTTTAATATTTACCATTGCAAAAAAAATCTGGACACATTTTTGTAATTTTTATGATAATATTTTTATAAATAATTATTAAGATTTAAATAGAAAATTTTAAAGAAAATAAATATTAGAGAATATTTACAAGATTTTCAAAATATAAAAAATTTAAATTAGTATAATATATATGAAAAAAAAAAGAGATTCACAAAACTAGACTATTGATGATGTATAAGCAAGCATACATATAATTGTAATTGATCAAACATAAAACAATCTGATGACAATCTCGTATGAACACAAGTATACAGTGCAAACGATCAGTCAAAAGATTGACAAAAAAAACGATCAGTCAAAAATAAATAATTTTTAAAATATATTTTGAAAATGCACAACATTCAGGATTTATGTGACATAAGCAGTTGAGGTCACATGCAATGGGATATATAAACTATATAAGTTAGTACACTCGAGTTGGTATGTGACTGAGAGAGTCAGAGATCCAACCAAATGAACCAAAAACCATCGGGGTTTAGGTAATTTCTCGATAAACATCACATTCACTCATTACTTCAAAAAATAACGCAAGCATAACATAGACTAAGTAAGTTCTATGAGTACTACACGGGAATGAAACATATACCTTTGAGAGTTTGGCCTAGAGGTTGTGAGCCCTCAGCCCTGACTCACAAACTCACATATCACCTCTTAAAGTCTTAGTCAAAATTGATCGGTGATTCTCTTGTCACTATCTCAAAAATCTCTATTGTCTCCAGATTATTCTTAAGATCGATCCAACGATGAAAATATGATGTAGCGGAAAATATGTAATTCGAGCAAAACCTTTAGTCACAAATTCATGTGAGTAAGCACTCGGATGAAACTTATACCTAAGATATATTCACCTTTGAGAGTTAGCCTAGCGGTTGTGAGAGCTCAACCATGACTCAAAAGCTCATATTTCACTTCCTAATGTCTCGGTCAAAATTTGGAATAAGTTAGAAGTCAAATTAAAAATGAAAGGACCTTGATGTTTTAGAAATTTAATTAAGAAGGTACCTACCTTAACTTCTCATATCATATGGATCATAGAAACAAGAAGTAAAGCTTGACATATGAGTCCTTAGCCTCCGATCTTGATGATTATATACCTTAGACACAACATTTCATCATCAACTTAGATAAAAGCTTAAGAAAGATACACAACTAGAGATTTATATTGATCATATGGTTTTCTTACCAAGATCCCTCACATGCAAATTTGGAAGTCAATCTGCAGAGATGTTAAAGATTTAGAACACGATAGAAATCCCAAATGTAAAGTATAATGTTATAAGTGGAAAAAGAAGCTTTGATTTGTCTAAAGAGGACGTTTTGCTTAGAAAACCCTTACCGGTTTCCTTGCAAGAAACTTGCTACCTACGGTGGACCTCTTGTGGTTTTTATGGCAAAATAAAATGATAGAGAGGTCGTAGAAAGGCTGAGATGACATTTATTGGAGAAGAGAAAGGTATTTTTACTAGGGAGTCATTCAATATTTTTTTCTTCACATTTTAACATGTCCACTTATATACATGCACTGTTAGGTTTCATTGTATTATCACACATCAACATTCCTAGCGAGAAATCATTGAAAATGAATGCCACTTAATCCAGGTTAATAGATACATTAAGTATTTGACATTTTGGTCTAATTCATTATAAGATATGCTTGATTTATAGTTTAACCTCTTAGTCTTTAATTAATGTAATGATTTATAACAAATCTTTTTTTTTTAATATTAAACGAGAACATACATATCGTCAGTCAGATTGAATAAAAAGAAGTGTCGTCTCCAACTATTCGCCTACACTTTATACTAGTCTACTCCATACTACATTTATGGATCATGCCCTGATGAACAAACGAGTGTTGACGGCGCCGTCATCAAACCCTAAAGATCGGCAGCTAACGGCGTCATTATTTAACAGCTTCGCTCCCAAACTAGATCCCACCTTTCTTCTGTACGGACCAAACCACTTGTGCTGTAAGTAAGAGCTTCTCCGCCACGGTGGGAGAGACAAGCCACGGCTCTTCAACGACCTCTTCGCCGCGTCACATGACTCTCTCACGATCGTCCTCAGATTTTCTTCTTTCCCCACAAAAACGTTAGGCAGCAACTGCAACACACGCGTGTATTCTCGTGTTGGCCTTGCGATCTCAAACTCGGAAGCAAAGTCTAGATCAACGAAGTAACGGACGGTCGTCTGATCATTATCTGACGGCTTGTAAACGACGTCAATGAAATGGTAACTTCCGGCGATGAGTTTGGCCGATGAGGTCCATTTTGAAACACAAACCGCCGCGTTGTGGCCGAGCTCTCGTAGAAACGAAGCTACCTTGTCCCGGAAAACAGATTTGTTCCTTGACCTAAAACCGGAATATACCTCCACGGCTCTCAAAACGTGACCTAACAATAGATTCCGATAAGGATCGGAATCGGAGAAGCTCACGGCCATCTTCAAGATCTCCTCACTATCTTCACAAGGACGTTCTACTACAGAATTCTCAGGCAGGTCGGAGTCAGAGTTGTAGAATGTCTCTTCGGGAGCATCCTCGAGAAACCCGTGTACGAGCTCGCAGAGTGGAGGAGAATCTTGGTCTAAGATGCCGCATCCGTGGCTACTGAAGATACGAGCCTTAGCGTCGTCGTCAAATGCGTCCGTGACACGTTTGGTTCTTGAGAAAATCGCCATTGATGTAGTGATGAGAACTGTTTTAGTGATTGATGAGAATTTTAGTGAGAAGTGGAAAGGTGAAAGAATCAAATATAAAGTGAGTTATGTGGAGAATTTAGCTTGGAATATTCGTAGCTTTCTATGTTTTGTTTTTACCATTTATAATTCTATGGGAAGATAAGATTTGGTTTTATCTCATTTGAGGCAAGACCGGTGCCTAGGAAGTATATCCGATGGTGCCTGAGGATTATTCTAGTCGTAAGATGTGGTGACGTGGACGGACGAGATTTAAAGAAGCTATAGAATATCCCTTTTGTATTCTTCTTACAAGAAAATATATCCGATCCATTGTAAAAGCTTGTCCGAAAAGTAAACATTTATTTGATGCAAATATGTTCGCTATTCAAAATGTTATAATTGGTATATTAACCGGTTTAATGCTTTTTTTTTTTTTTTATTAAACCGGTTTAATGCTGTTTTAAGCTTTTTAGCTAATGTTTCTTGCACAAAAAAAAGAAAGAAAGAATAAACAAGCTTAATTTAGGCTTTTTTATGTACGAGGCAGTTAACGATCAACACTATCTAATGAGCTCTAAGATAGTGTTGATCGTTTACTTTCAAAGCTTTCTTAGTCGAATTCTTGAATATTGTTGCACGTTGAAAGCAGTAGAATTAGCCTTAATTGCGATTCAATTGGTTCTGATTCATCCCGGTGGTATAAGTCCACCAAAGGTCCAAACTCCAAAACAAAGGCACAAGAAACTATTTTGTCTTTGGACGAACGCAAACTCTTTTCACGGACCTTTTACATTTTTACAATTGATGAACAAAACACCAACACAACCCAAAAGATCGTTTACTTTCTTTCCTCAGCCGTTACATCTTTCTGCTTCCCCACCCCAAAGATTTCACTGGGGGGTTCCAAAATCGAGATGACCGTCGCACGTCCATAAGATGTTTGGACGATATGATCTTCTACCGCCGGACCATCATACGTGTTTTGCCTCACTAAACCATCTTCCTGGGAATTCGTCTCACAACTCTTCTTTCATTTTAATTGTTTGAAACCAGTTAGAGAAATTGAAATCTCATGAGTCATGGATTCATAGCTCCAGTATCAAAAACCCTTTTTTACCATCCGTCTTTCACTCTAAAGATAAAAAACGTAACTCGATATCATATTAAGAACTCAAATTAATCTTGAAAGTTAGGTTTTTCATAGCTCCATGTTCTACCAACAACTAGACGAAAAAAACAACACATGCGATTAATCACTAACTGAAATCCAATGTTCTCAACATAGAAGTCGCCTGTTTTATGTCTCACTAACGCTCAGGTTGAAAAACTAAAAGAAACATTGCAACAAACCAATAGAGAAGAAAATGAAAATGCAGAGTTCTCGGAACGTTTTTAAGATCTCAGGTGCTCATTGCTTCTCCATCTTTTGATGATTCCTTCTGCAAATTCCCACCAACACAAGATTTGGTTATCATCATAATAATTACCACTTTCTACTTTCATCTTCTTATAATCATATGATCAAACCATTGGATTAATTAGAGATATATACTTACAGTTAGTTTCGCAAACATGTTTCCATAAAATTTGGCTTCCTTTTTGTTGAATTCCTTCATTTTCTCCTTCAACCTTCTCTGCTCCAGCTTCACTTCCCTATCATTTGAAAATAAATATTAAATGTTCACTTCGTATATGAAGACGACATTGCAGAAACTACCCTGCTCTGGATTAAAAGATACCAAAGCCAAATCTAACACAGATAAGAGTTAAGAGTAATAGACAAACCTGTTGTTGGGATCAATTTCAAGGGCCTTCTTGACATCAAACTCAGCCAAGTCTAAATCAGCCATCTCCATGTACGCTTGCGCTCTCCTGTATAAGGCCTTCACATTGGTGCTTTCTAGCTCTAACACCTAAATAAGAAAGTACCATCTCCATCATTTTTGTTCAGCTAGGCTATGAACCTACAGAAAAGGATTCGTAGTCTTAACCAACTAATTATTATTACCTTTGTGCACAGTTTTTCAGCCTGCTTGTAATCTTTCAATTTGAGTTTGCAGGCTGCATCGTTTAGATTGCATGCCACCTTCAATGCTTTTGCTTGCTTCTTCTCTTCCTCACTGAAGGATGTGTCGTATTCAATGAATTTGACAGCCTGAGAAGATACTGAACCATGTAAGATGCTGTTCAACGTAAAACTCATATATCAATAAGCAGTTTGTATCATATACCTTCTCGTATCTCTTGGAAGCCAGGGCATATTTGCCTGCTTTAAACTTGGAATTTCCTTCTTCCTTCTTCTTACTAGCAGCTTCTATCTTCTCCTCAGTGCTCATGTCCCACGATTCCCTTTCCTAAAAACCCAGTGGCAAACAAGTGTTGGACACTTAAACTTCCATATTGACTGAATAGCGAACGGCATAAGCATCCAAAACACTTCACTAACCTTGTCGAAAGTCAATAGGTCAACCTCATAAGTAACGGTTGAGTTTGGCGGCACCACAGCCAATTCTTGTTGTGACTCGTTAGAACCAAAGGCATACTCCGGGTCTATGACCACCAATGCCAGTTCACCCTTTTTCATCTTCATGACAGCTCTATCCAGTCCATCGACCACTTGCTCTGTTTAAGCATACAGCAGATGAGTTACCATGACTAAGTAAACCAGGGAAAATCCAGGACATCCAACTATCCAAGGGAAAGTTTTCAAGAAAATTAGGAAGAGTGTAGATACCTTCATCTGTTTTGAACTCAAACGGTTCCTCATTCTCACCATGACCTTTCTTCAAAAATACAGTACCATCTTGAAGTTTCCCTATCAATTTCACTGCCAGAAAGAAACAAATGAAACACCTGTAAGAAACCGTTATATCTGGTGAAGACATGAGTGTACTAAATTCCGAAATGCAAACCTTTCACAACTGCCCCCTCGTTAGGACGCTCATATCCTTCCCCTTCCTTCAAGATTTTCTTCATAACCTTGTTATCATCAGTTACTTCTGAAACTGTTTTCCATGAAACTAACTCAAGATTGATCTCAAGCGTCGCATTAGGAGGAACCGCACCATCACCAGCAGAGGCTGGCTTTCCCTTCTCCCCAAAACCATCTGTCATTTACAAGCAGATTGGAATAAGAGACAAGGCAAACACCATACCAGCATAAGTGAGAACACAACTGAGGCAAATTTTCTTACATTGTGGTTTAACTGTCAAAAGAACCTTTTCACCCTTTTTCATGGTTTTCACAGCCTTAGTAAGTGCAGGGCAGAAATGACCTATTAATGACATAGATAACAAAGAATGTCAAAGAGCAAATATATTATCCAACATGGCCCATCATATCTTAAAAGAATTCAGAGCACTAACCATCTTTAACAGTGAACTCTACACCATCAGATTTCCCAACAACCGTGCCATCCTCAAGTTTAGCCTCAAACTTAACTGAATAAATAAATACACAAGAAATACCGAAATATCGTTAGCAAAATCAAACACAAACCAATCACTAAATCAGGCCACAAGAAAGAGAACACACACCAAATACTTCATCAAGATCCTTTGGATTCTCCCACTTCTCTCCAACAGCAAGAATCTTCTTAAACACACCACCATCTTTACATATATCCTTCACACTAACCCATGTAAGCAACTCCACATCAAACTGAAGCGTGGCATTCGCAGGAATTGTCGGCGGCGAACCAGTTTCCCCATACGCTAGCTCCGAAGGAATAGTGAATACAGCGTTTTCACCTTTCTTCATTGTCTTAATACCAATATCCCATCCTTTAATAACCTGACCTGCAACAACACAATACCAACAACCACAAACCATAACACATCCATCAACAAAGAGCATTTAGTATTCGAAAATTCGATTTGGAACTTAACAACAACCGCATCTCAATTCAAGTTGATTTCTAATCTTCCTAATACTCTTGATTACTTAGTTCTTACTGATAAACACTATAATCAATCGCTAGTGACAAATTAAGCTAAAAGCAATCGTATCCAGAGATCAGAATCACAAACCTTGTCCAAGAGTGAATTTAAAAGGCGTTCCTCTATCACGACTCGAATCAAACTTCGTCCCATCAAGCAAGGTCCCAGTGTAATGCACTGCAGAAACCAAATCAAGCTCAGCTTTAATTCAAAAAACCTAAATCGAAAATAATTGGTATCAGAATCGATTAATTAATTACCTTCAACTTCATCGCCATTCTCAGGAGTTTCATATCCTTCACCTTCTTTAACAAGCTTCTTCTTCAAACCTTGTTGGATCTCTTTCTCTTCACCGACTTTAAGAAACGAGGCGGCGTCACCGAAATCCATGTCGTCGTCGTCGCCGACCGGAGGCATCTCGAAATCGTTATCCATTTTTTTCGATTCAATTCAAAGAAAACGCAAAGGAGAAATCAAATCGCGAGAGAGATAGAGAGAGGAATTGGATTTGTGAGATTTATATATGAGGTTGAGTTTTGGGTGAAGAAGGGTTCTAGAGAGTTCTTTAAATCTTTTATTCGAAGGAGATGACGGAGTTAAGTGACGGAAAGATGGTTCGAGAACAGAGATGCTGTTTAGGTTATGACGCCGTTAAAAGGGTTGCGTATTCTGATGATGTGTATTGATTACGTCACTCATTTGGGCTTTAACTAATTCACTATTTAAACTCTTTAATAGCCCAACAAGGCCGGTTTTTGTTTTGTCAACAAGCCCAACAAAGCTGCTAGAACTCTATAGGAGGACAGAGGACAGAGGACTTTAGATATATATATATATATATATATATATATATATATATATATATATATAGTTGCATCTAAGCATATAAGAGCATGATTATTGGTAGTATCTTAGAAATAAATTTTAGGAATATTTAAGTAATATATTTGTAAAAGTGATAGGTAAGAGATAGTATTTTTGGGTTAAGATTTTTGTGTGATTAATGGTAGGTTCTTAACATGTGGTTCTTAGAAAAAAAAATATTAATATAAAAATAAAATTTATATACTTTAACCAATCACAATGTGACACCTTGCAACATCTTAAGTTAAGAAAAACATCTTAACTTAGATACAAATCTTAGCTTTAAGATGTTGGTTTGATTATTTTTAATCAACTTTAATCCTAAGATTTGTCTAAGATACTCAACATTTCAACCGATATTCATGCTCTAATAAGCAAAACAAACTTTTCTCTTCCATCCGCCATGTAATTTAGGTTCTTTAAAACACTCTCTGCATATTTCTTCTTCTTCTCTCTTTTCTTCTTCTTGAAGAACACTCTAAGCTTGCGCTGGTTTAGGGTCTCGGGCTCTAAGAATAGATAGGAGTTTTCTTCTTTTTTTCGGCCGGACAATGTCCCACTGGTTTGATCCATTAAAAAATGATTTTTGGGCTACTGATACCCAAAATAAATCACCTATGTGCATGGTCTAAGTATCTGACTCCCTATTGCTTGGTTCTGATGCACTTATAGTACATATGCATTGTTGATCGGGAAAACGGCCAATTCCCCCCCCCAAACTTAGTTACTTTATCGGATTCATACACATAACTTTGAGTTGTGCTTATAACTACGTGAACTTAACTAAATTTTGATTTTCCTACACGAACATTCCAAATCCGGTTAAAACCATCAAATCGACAAACGGTGTTAGTATTCCGTTAACTGATGCTGACTAGGATGCCACGTAAGCGTTTCATTTAAATTATAAAAAAAATCCATTGGACGAGATTCGAACCCAGGACCCTTAGGTGAATTTCAGAAATCTAATTCAAAATTATGAAGGAGATTGTTTTCAAATTCAAAATCATCATTCGTTGGAGAGATGAATCTTCTATATGACAGAAGAAGAATGAAACAATGCTTAAATTGAACGTAGGTGAATGGAAGACAGAAGACAAATTGACCTTTTTTGTTTGGGTATATATATATATACATGTTTTAATGTACGACGAAAATTGTGTTAGCGTAAATGGTTATGAGCTTACTTATCCTTAGCAAAGGTCATGGGTTCAAATCCCGTCCCATGGATATTTTTTTATAATTTAAATGTAACGACGCTTACGTGGCATCCTAGTCAGCATCAGTTAACGGAATACATAACACCGTTTGTCGATTTGATGGTTTTGACAGGATTTGGAATGTTCGTGTAGGAAAATCAAAATTTAGTTAAGATCACGTAGTTATAAGCACAACTCAAAGTTATGTGTATGAATCCGATAAAGTAACTAAGTTTGGGGGGGAATTGGCCGTTTTCCCATTGTTGATCCCTAGCTTAAAGTGTGCAGCATTTTTTGTTTGGCTGGTCAGTTCAGTATCATATGTTCTCTTTAGCGACTCTAGCCTCATCATTAGATAAGAAGATGGGACAGAAAAATCTACTAGCTAAGTTATGCCGCAAAAGAGGATATAAAACAGAAATTATATGAAGCAACATAACATAAAATATCTACACACACAAGTTCAATTATCTAAGAAGGTCCAGAGAGATAACCTGATTGGGAATATTCAACATGGAGCTTCTTACATTAGTGAACTCGATTACTTTCTGAACATTGTTCTTGTTCAAGATGACTTTGTCTTCTTGTGTTACAGATGGAAGAAGTGCTGCATGTTTGAAAGGTCCCAATGTTGGTATCATACCAAAGATTGGTGTTGCGTTTCTGAATCCGAAGACCCCATTTGTTGCACCAGCTGTTCTCTTGTGATTGCATGAATACAATTTTCAGAAGATGATGATTAGCATTATTTGCAGAAGACGTTAAACAAAGAGGAAGTAGACATTTACGAGTGCTTGATTACCTAAACCAAGAGTAGAAAAACACAATTACTTGACTCAACAATACGTCAAAAAGGCCAACTCGGTTTAGTGCTGCAGTATACTCGCTAACAAGTGTAGTCTAATGCACAATAATGAGATCAGACCACGAGTCAGGAAAACAAAAAGATGCCTCTTGATATAGTACATGGCCATTGTTAAAACTTTTATGAGTTATCTCAAATAACGAGCTAGCTATTAATATTTGACATGTTCCTTACTCGAAAGAGAAGAGAACACTCTGTACTTTTGTCTAGTGAACAAAAAGATCACTAACTAAAAAGATACTTGTGAGGCAAGTAACTCTGGCACAACCAGAATGAATTGGAAGAAACCATGCATGCTTTTGCGGAGAAAACCAACCAAGAAGCATATAGTTTGCTAGGAAGCCTCCGACTTAAGGGAGTGAAAGTATCAAAACCATTAGTTGCAGGGGAAGGAGCGTGTGCACCATTTGGATGACCACAAGTTGTGCAGTGAAAACGAAGTAAAATATATAAGGCAAACAAAAAGAAGTATGAGAAACAAATTAAAATTTTATTGACTTGTTCAAAGAAGAGGACAAAAGAGAAAGAAAACAAAACAAGCAAAAATATGCAAGAAATAGATGGTCGACTAATTAAGTTGCACTATACTTGGAACATAAGAGCACACAAGTGGGTATGCGTATGCCGATTCTCCGAGATCCACTGCTTTGAAGGATCCATCCACTCCAATAATGTAAGCTATGTTGCGCCGATCGTTGTAGTCTTTATCAAAAACCACAGCGACTTTCTTCTCCTCGTCAATGAAGAAACTCCCCAAGTAAAACTGAAACTGAGGGGCAATGAGTTTTTTTATACTCACTGATAAGAACACCTTGCTGTTCCACGACACCACGTTGGGCTCAATCTTAGACGTAATCCAGATCTCCATCTTTAATGTATCCCACGGCTGATATAAAACCGCAAGCTGCTCTTCTCTAACACTAGATACACTCATAGCATCTTCAGAAACAGCAAACTCAAACGGAAGAGGCAAAAGCGGTCCAAATGTCTCTCTTGTGAAATCAAAACAGACTAAGAAAAAATGGTCGGTTCTTCTTGTTTCAGAATACTTCTCATTAGCAAACCAGTACGCATTTCCCTTGAGAGACACGCCATGGTTAATATGACTTATCGTCCAGTCTGGAGTGACATCAAGAACCCTCCATGAATCAGAGTTAAAATCGTAGATTTTGAACTCTTCAAACTTGGGATCCCAGTAAGTAATAAACCTCAAGATTTTGTGGGATTTGCTGCTCTTGTTGTATCCGAGAGCATACATACATCTATCGATTATCTGTAAGTTATGTGTGAGTTCGATCGTCCGGGCATGTCCCCAGTACGGGTTCCAAACCACGAGCCTAGTCTTGTCTTTGGTGATGCTGATGCATAACAATAAACCGTCACAGTGAAAGATTTGAGATATATCAACTTCATCGCCTAAGCTAATAAGTTCAGCTTCACGCTTTATACATGATGATTCAACGTTGTTCTGAAGATTGACTCTCATCAAATAAACCCTAAAATTCATCATCATGACCACCATAAACTCTCTTTCCCTCTCTGCTATTTTTGCTTGATCACCAAGGTACTTCTTTGCAAAACTCTCATATTTGGATAAAGTGTTCCACTTTTTGCAAGTGGATCGGATAGTTCGCAGAGATGTCACCGGAATCTTACAGAGCACCTCCTCCGCCAAATCTCTAGGAAGATTGGATATCTTCGTCATTCAATGAGGATCGATATAGCGCAAACTAGTTTGTTTTCTTTTTCTCTTTATCGGAAACTAGTTAGGTTAACCTTATGAAAAAACAAAAGCACCTTACTTTTCCTCTGTTTGTGATTTATAACAAACTGAAGATCAGAAACAAACCCTTGAAAGGATAGGATTCGATAACGATTGTCAGAACAAAAACCCCAAAAAACTCAACTGGGTCGGTCCATATACACTAAATTGGACTTAAAAGCCCAAAAACCGACCCAACGTTGGACGATAAAAGATTTATCCACGACTAGGCCAATGTTTTTCTGATTATATGCGATTGCAGAACAAGTTGTCATTTTAGAACTGCCAACATAACTAATGTTATGACCAAAACATAATTATTGTCTTTAACTAGTAAAGTAAATGATTCTAGGCAGGTTTGAGATTCAAATGCTGACAACGACCGACTATTCAAGGTTTCATTTAAATGAAAAACAAAGATGATGTAATCAAAGCTCATTCTTTGCTTTTCCTTCGCTGGATGGTTCTCCGTTCACAGCAACAAGCTCGGTGTCGAATATCAATGTCGCCCCACCTGCAATTAACCATTCATTCACACTCATTTCATGGAACATCAAGTTTCAATTTCAATACCGCCTTATTAACAAATGCAGATAGGGTCGAAAATTTACACAACACAACAACTCTCAGTTTGAGACTCCCAATTTCTTGGTTCTGAAGTATTATTAGTTTATCGTTTAATATGTACAGCATTTTTTATTTGGCTGATCAATTCAGTATCAATGTTCTCTCTAGCCTCATCATTAAATAAAAGGATGGAACTGAATAATCCACTAGCCAAATTCAACCAAGCAACGTAACATACCCGGGATTTTTGGTGGTGAGCCATTATCACCATAACCAAGTTTGGATGGGATTTTCAACTTTCTCTTCTCACCTACACAAGCTCCCAGTAAACCCTGGTCCCATCCTGCAACATTTTAAATTAATTGCATTACCTTCAATTTTGTCCATCAATAAAAAAAAGGTAACAATAACAGCAGGGAAAAGATGGAGTTGGTGCTATGCAATAACAGCAGGGAAAAGATGGAGTTGGTGCTATGCAATTGCAACAAACCTGGGATCACTTGACCAATTCCAAGCTCAAACTCAATAGGGTCACCTCTCTCAAAACTTGAATCAAAGACAGTTCCGTCAGTTAACTTTCCCTGCAATAGAGAACTACGTCAATCGCCAAGCATTTTTTTAGATCAGATTCATTATCAATGTTTCTTGTAAGCTATCCAATATGAACATTTACTAAAAATACTAATGAAACTAATCCCACATTTTCAGCACATCATTATGCATTTATGCCCCTGATGTTTCATTATTTAAAAGTCGCGATAAGACGCAAAATCCTACATAACTCTTCATCAAAATACTATAGAGCAAGCAAGAAGGAACCTTCCCAGCAATTAGTTAAACAACTAGTAGAAGCTTCAAATAAAACATACCCGATAGTGAACCTTGATTTTATCCCCTTTGTGAGCCTGAAGATCACATTTCTGAGGCTTGTACTGTACAAAGGAACAAATGAAAACAACGGTCAGAAATCTAATCTCATAAACCAAAAGAGTATAGAAGCCAAGTCCATCTCCAATTTCTTTATTTACTTTCCAAAGTAACAATGCATAGAACTAGAAGATTAGAAAACATAAGCAAAACCAAAGCATCTCTACATAAATTACGCAATCATGAGCATTATCATCATCTCATCACGCAAATTTGAGATCAAATTCAATTTCACTCGAACAGACTCATACACAGAGAATCAAACATGGAATAGACAAAACTAAGCTCCGATCAGAGACGTGGAAAGAGCGTTATTTCTCACCTTGACACCAATCTGCAACTCTGTCACATCACCAGACTTCTTCGCATAAGCTGAAGATCATAAGATCATCATCACAAAATCAACGGAGATCAGATCGATGAGATTGAATCAAATCGAAATCGAGAAGGATGTAGAAGATTCAAAAAGAGAGGAGATGTATTTACCTAATGTTAGAACGGTAAGCAGAAGCAAAACTCCAATAGCTTTCATGGCGGATGCAGAGCTCATCGTCTTCGATCTCTAAGTCACTGATTTTACGAAAGATCTGTTTTCTCAGGTACTCTTTTATTGAGGAAGACAAACTAAATATAATGGGCCTAATATCGTATTATATATAGGCCCATTAAGTCCATATGCGTATCCACAAATTTCTCTTCACCTAATTAACGTGTTTCAAGCGGTGTCCAAGTAAACAAGAACAATTAACGTGTTTTAAGCGGCAGATCACGGAGTCGTTAACATTGTACCTTAGTTCTTATTTGTTTAGAACAATGGTTTCAGTTTCATTGAATGAACAAATGTGTAAAACTAATAAGGTTTCAGCAAAGTTAATTGATACAAATCAATTTTATAACCTTCCTATCAAAATGGAGCGTATTAGCGAGATATGAGGTTTCATATTTCGCTAATAAAGCGTTTAGAACAAACATGTAAAGTTTTTTGTTTTCATGAAACCAGAATCAATGCATTCAAGCACTATGTAACAGTAAATGTCGAATGTGTTATAATTCTTTTATGGTTTACACGTTTTAGCAATGTGTAGTAGATTTGCAGCATTGTCACAGTATAGAACAGTTGTAGAAGAAGGTGGAAGTCGCAAATCTTGCAAAATACGATCGATCCAAACAAGTTGGCGAGTTTTTCAGGAGTCATTGCTTCTGCGAGAAACAATGGACTGTTTATTTTGCTTCTAAGAAACAAGAGAATCCCCAATAAAGATGCATAATCCAGTCACGTCCACTCAACATCAATAAACCACAAAGAGATATATATAAAGCAGTAAAATATAACAACTTGTAACCAGTGCTCGTTTGAGGTAACGAAGAATCTTGTGAACTGCCTGCAGATGTAGATCCTGTAACATCAGATCTTATATTTGTTCATCAACAGTAATAACATACGGAAAGCGCGTTTAGAAATCAGCAAATGTTGTACAGGTTTTGGTTTGCAAGAAAATATCAGTAAACATCGATATGGTCGAGGAGAAGAGTCATATAAAACCTCACCTTCACACAATTCATAGAACATGATACAAGACAACATGATCTTGAATCCTCGAATCAATAGAACCACAGAATATCTCTAAACTTTCAAGGCTCAAGTCTTCAGTCTTCGAATCACTATGCTTCAAGTCTTCAGCCTGTAATCTAAAGAGCAGAGAATCTTGAGGATCACAACTTGAAAACCCGTACAATTTGGATCATTACTGCAATCTAGGGTTCATTCACTGGAGTGCAAAACACACACTTCCAACCAAAATGACCCATCTTTTAGCCCCTTTCGAATAACAAGAGCTAAGCGGATCAATCACCCATCACCCTTCTAGATGAACAGAACCAAATCATCCCTTATTCAAAAAATACACCTCATCCATCAACGTTCTGTAATTCCTTTCACCCATAACCGGATCCCGTTTCTTCCATTCCTCAACCAACTCAAGAGCTTCATCCCCTCTACCTCCCCTACACAACTCCGTCAAAACCGTGTTATAAGTCAACATATCCGGAGACAACGAATTCGCCAACATATCATACACAACCTCAACCGCTTCATTCAACCTCCTCTCCATAGACAAACTACAAATCAAAACCATATAACAACTCCCATTCGGAACCATCCCTTTACTACTCATCTCCTTATAAAACCCTAAACCCTGTCCAATCCTTCCTTTCTCACAAACCCCCTTAATCAAGTAACTATAAGTATAAGCATTAGGCTCAGAGCCATACAAAGCCATCTCTTTATAAACCCTTATAGCTTCATCTACCTCAAGACACTTTGCATAAGCTTTGATAATCATATTCAACACAAACGTATCCGGAATCACACCGTTCGATTTCATCTGCTTCGTAAGCGATCTAACGGCATGTAGATACACATAACACACATTCAATTTGTTGAATCTCTTAAGCAATGAGCTTAGAAGCAAAGTATAGGTTTCAAGATCAGGCTTTGAATCTTCTGATCGAAGCATTTTGTTATAAACATCGAAAGCTCTATTAAAAAGAAACTTACGACCACAACAGAATCTGATGATGCAATTGTATAGAGGAACACTCATTTCACAAGCTCCGGCGATTACTTCTTCGATTAACGTTTCGACGAATTTGTTTCGTTTTCCGGTGATTGCTTGTTTGATCATAGTGTGGTAAGCTTCGTGATTGTGTTTGTAGCCTCGTTGTTGAGATGTCCATCGGAAAATGTCGAGAGCTAGATCTGGATCTGATTGAGCTCGTAACGCTGTTACAACATCGGAGTTTGTGAATCCTGGTTTTAGATTCTGGATCCATGTTTCGAATTGAGTTTCGAGTGGAGTTCGGGTTCGAATCCGGGAAGGGGAGGTGTGTGATTCCGGCGAAGATGAGACGGAAGAGAATGATAGAGATAGGCGATTCACGGCGGTGGAAAGACACGGCGGAGATGAATTAATGGAGCGATTAGCGGAGGAGAGAAGGATGAGGCGTCGGAGTGTCGCCGACATCGTACGGAACGAGAAGCTAATTCTCCGGTGTGGCCGTTCGTAGAAGATGTCAAACAGTAGGGTTTATCGAATTTTGAAATTAATTATAGTTTTGTACTTTTGTTTAGATAAACTGAAAAAAATAACAAAAATGAAAACACGAGTTATATAAAGAAGAACAATTCTAGGGGTGAACCCTTGTATTCACCTCTTTTGTTCTTAACCACTAATTGTGCCATGTCATCTAACACTTAATTAAAAATTAAAAATTAAACAAATTAATAAAAAATAAATTAAGAAATAAAATCATTAACCAAAAGATTAGGTTAGTTAACGGAGACGTCATTGGTGTTAGCATTATACGTTAGGATTTTGATTTTTTTTCCATGGCCATTGATACTTAGCAATTAGCATTACCAATTCACCTACTTCTCTTGTATTAGAACCTTCATAATCTTGGAATTGTTCATGCTGCAACGTAGAAGATTAAGTTAGTTAACGGAGATGTCACGACATGTAAGCTAATACGTCGTCGTCGTTTGAGAAAACACTCACGACATGGGAAAGAGACGACACTCACGACATGGCTCTTAATTATGTGGAATTGTGGATTATTATTTGGTTTGGTGTTCTTGTCTTTATTTTTGTTAATCTACCTGTTCAATTTTGGTTTCTGTTTCAAAAAACATTATATTGCTTGTGTTTCTCTTTCTGACTTGTTCAATTTTTCGTACATGTTCCTCTTTGAATAAACAAGATATGATGGAGCCTGAGAAGACATCTTCGTCTACAAGTCAAAACCATATAACTTGTATACATTACCATATAGCAATAAATGTGTATGAGTTTTCCAATGGGTTTTGTTTATCATGCATATAATTTGGTTGAAGAGCGAAGCCTCCAATGTTCAAGAACTAGTAGAAGAGTTGCAGATTTCATTTTCTATTTGATCGGAATCTCAATGGGTTCATACACCGTTTGTAGAATACTTGTTTGATTTTCTATTTGATTGGAATATGAATAGTTGTATAACTAATAATTTGTAGAATATGAATATGATGTGTGTATTATGCCTTTTTCTTTTATTTATTAGCTAGTACGTTACTTCTATGTGGCTAGGATGCATCAAATGAAATTTCTGCAGAGTTACAGGGTGTACCAAATCTCATCATTGGCAACTACAGTGATGTAAATCTCGTTGCTTCTTTGTTAGCTAATAAGCTAGGCGTGATACAAGAGCAGTGTCAAACACTAAAAACTAAGCTTTCACCCATATACCACTTCAAACTGATAAGCAATTAGATGAAAACTAATAATCGTAGTTTCATGTAAAATTAAAAATATTTGAAGAATTGTGATCACAGAAGATGGAAATCATAAAATTGCCTTTGATATAATTCTGAGATATAATTGGTACTTAGAATTCTCTGGTTGTAGAATATACCTTTCTAGAGTCAGAGTCTAAAAAAATATCAATTGTATCACAGAGGAGAAATTTTTGAGTTGCAGCAGGAACAGTTCCAAGATTATGAAGATTCTAATACAACAGAAGTAGGTGAATTGGTAAGGTTAACTGGTTAAGTATCAATGGCGATGGAAAAAAAATCAAAACCCTAACGTATAATGCTAACACCAACGACGTCTCCGTTAACTAACCTAATCTTTTGGTTAATGATTTTATTTCTTAATTTATTTTTTATTAATTTGTTTAATTTTTAATTTTTAATTAAGTGTTAGATGACATGGCACAATTAGTGGTTAAGAACAAAGGAGGTGAATACAAGGGGTGAACCCAAGAATTGTTCGTTGACTAAGGATACATTAAAAAAAAATCTTACATTAATTAGTGCTGTTAAATAAAGATTACTCTTGTGTGATCTCTGACAAAATTGGAAGGTTGGATCCACAAAATTAACAAATAATAATAATTACTAAAAGTAAATCCCGTATTTCCTTATTTTTACATGATGGCTTAATTTTATCTTCCAATAATCATAAACTGCCTATCTTCTAAATATTAAAACAACAAATAAATAAATAAAATTATGTTATTGAGAGTTGGAATATGTTAAATCTTCCAATAATTATCAACAATGTTAAAAAGGAAAAAAGGTAGCATTAGTGGGAATAGAATTTAGACGAAAAAAAAAAGTGGAATAGATTATATTTTTTTGTCGTTAGTGGGAATAGGATTAGGTTTTGTGTGTTATATAAAGCATAAATAGAAGGACACAAACAAAACATAAGGAGCAAAATTAAATAAAAGAAACAAACGATGGATACATTCTTCATCAACGAAGTTTTAATTCCGTTTGGTATCATCGTCGTATCTCTACTTTTTTCCCTTGTGATGTTGGCCATTACGTGTTGTTGTTCTGAGGATAGTCCGGACGATCTAGGAACGAGGACTCGTCGCACCAATCTCCTTCATCGTTTTTTTGTTTATTTTGTTTTATGCACTTGTATGATTCTTTTCTTCTTTCTTTGTTTATGGTTATGTTATATGTTTTTATTTAAGATTTTTATTTCATATATGTAGGTTTTGTCGAGTTTGGAATCGTTTGAACGATGAAAAATCATCAACCAATTTGTATTGATAGTCTGTTTTGAATTAGGGTTAAATTTTCTTCTTATGATTTTTGAATTTTTTTTGGTTGCCAAACGAAACTATACTTCTTGCATGAGTTTAATTATATTCAAAATCCATATTCCATAGACTATCGTCAAGTCTGTGGCTTTGCTAGCTCCGATCAGTTTCACGATCATCAAAACTTCAATCCAAATTATCTTTTTTTTTTCATAAACAAGCTTTTAGTTTTTTGAATCATTCAATACCCAAACTTTGCTTTGTTAACCCATGCATGTGTCCCTGACTCGGACTTTAAGATAGGACTTAAGAAAATTAGGGTAAGTGGGTAACAAGGTCTCTGATCTTTATATATATACATCACAATTGTTTGATCTAATAATTTTATATGCTCTTAGTGTTAACGCTGAAATCCACTGAAATCCACTACTATGGGTCCTTCTCATGTGAGCTAGCTCTAACAGCAATTGCCTTCAAAGTAACTAGATTGTTTAGCCGCGATATTCGCGGCTTGTTGTAATTTTAAAATAATTTTCATAAGTTTGTTTCAATATAAGTATAATTAGAAGAAATTTATTCGAGATAAGAAAGAGGTAAGAAAAATATATTTGATAAATATATTAGAATAATTTATTTCATTATATATTGCATAACAAAAAAAATTGAATATGTTAGAAAATAATCAAATATTCAACGAAATAGTGGAGATGGATCTTTACAACTTCATTCTCTTGTTGTGCGATGATTAGAATCGATATTTTTTACTTTGCATCACCAGTAAACCTAAAAGTTTTGTTATAGCCATCAAAAGTTTTATTTTACATATGTTAATTCAAAATTAAAAATATGAAAATTAATGAAGAAATATGTATAATCTAGTATGGAGTTAGGAACAAAAAAAAAGAGAAAAAAATTAGAATCAAATTATTACAATGATATTTTCATTGATTTCAACTCATAAAAAAATAGATACATGAATATAGTAGAAGAGGATGAGAGAATGATTACTTATAAGATGATAATCTAAAATAGACAAAGACAAAGAATCTTTTAAAAAATCAAAAAACTAATGTAGAAATTAAAATTTAGTATTAAACTTTTACAATGATTAATTTGAGTTTTTTTTAACCCATACAACAACCACAACAAAAAAAAACACAAAACAAATAAAGAAAATGACTTGAGATGTGTAGTGGAAGAGGATGAGAGAATGAAAAAAATGGAAAAATGAAAAATGAGTATTTATAGGATGAGAAGTGATAGGAGTTATAATTTAAAAATAAATAAATTGGGAGTTACAATTCTAATTGATTGTGTGTTGAATAAAATTGAGTGGAATAGTTAATACATAATTTATATGTTTTCAGTTTTATATATTAAAGTGTGAGTTAAATGTATATAATTAGTGGTTTAATTGAAAATAATTTTTTTAAAAAATCTTATTGCCAAGTGGACCAATAAGGGGAGAGTGAAATTTTACTTTTATATGTATGACTAGATGAATGTAGCCACGCTACGTGTGACTTGTTACATTTTTATTATAAAAAAAATTTGAAATGAAAACTAAAAAAAAAATGATGTTTTTAATATTATCACACAAATTCTTATATATTTAAGGTGGACACATTTTTAACATTACTTATTACGACTCAAAATGTTTTAAATTATTTGTATATCATAATAAAAAAAAAACATATATAAAGAATATTGTATTTTCTAGATAGATCTAACACCTTCTTACATTTTATTAATTCTAAATTCTAACATATTCAAATTCAAGAAAATTTTATTCATTTAGATATCGTACATTTTTCATTAAAGATTTAATTTAAAAAAATTGTTTAAATATCGAATAATGCTTTTGTTTAAATAAGTATATAAAGAGAATAATCATACACCAATAGTGGAAAAGGAAGATTGATCATTTCAATTAGATTCACTTGTTGTGTGAATATTAAAATAGTTAGCTATTGAATTTCCATAGATTGATCGGCAAAACAGATAAATATTATACTAAGAATTTTAAAAAATAAAGATGAAAGAAATACATTCTTGTAATGCGATAGAAACAAAATAAAATTGAATACTATATAAACTACATATGTACCATATAATCTCTGAAAATAAAATAAACAAAATAAAAAGCGAATACAATATAAACTACATATCATATAATCTCTAAAAATAAATTTTACAATCAAGCTCTACCATCACTATGACACAATTGTTTTATAACTCATGCAAGAACATAAAAATAAAGTAAATTTACAAATTTGAAAATATGGTGGAAGATGATAAGAGAATGAAATTTATAGATGGGAAGTGGTGAAACTCTTTTAATTATTGAGTAAAAGTTACAAATTCTTATTGATTAGTAGGAGTTACAATTAAGTTTAAATGTAGAGTTTAAATTATAGTCGATACAATCTTCAAATAGTTAATGTATATTAGTGGAGGAGTTACAAATGAATTTAAATGTGGAGTTACACATGAGTTTTAAAATAAGTTAATTAGAGATGAATATATTATAGGTTTTTTTAAAAAATATAAAAAATGC